GGCATGTATGTGTATGTATATAGATGTAAGCATGTATGTGAAAATATGTATGTGTATGTATGTACGGATGCATATATGTATATATTCATATATGTATGTATGTGCGTGTATGTTTGCAGGTGTATGTATAACTTGTACATATCTTTCTTGTGTAAATTTGTCTGTTATTGTGTAAATACTTACGCTATTGTGTACTTCACACACATGGAGAAATGCCAAACTGCCTTTCATTGTTCTTGTAACGGTGACAATAAGAAGCTATTCTATTCTAATTCAATACTAATCTTCTAAAAGAAGCCAAAGCTGTGGTTTGCACTTTGTGTGGTGCTGCACTCGTAGCTTAATAAGAGCTCATGCAGGAAAATGATTTGAAAGTTTTGGCCGGATCTTCTTTGTCTGCAGGAATAACTTCCTTCATATTTTTAACAAGTGTCTTGCCAACATGTTCGTTCCATGGAAGCTAAAGCTGTTCAACCAGGCTGAACGGCCTCCTCTGGATTTTTCTGCCATGAAGCTGTCACATAAATTTGTTTGTTACATTTTTTTAAAACAAGGTGATCCCTTAGAGCCTAAAGTGAAAATCTCAGAAAACCCACCTACGCTCCTTAATGAAGGTTCAGCAGGTATTTAAGAGAGAGGTGTGGGGTACTACAGCATGTGTGGTAAAGATCTTAGAAAGCTCCGTGTGCCCTCGTTATCCAGCTCAGCTGTTTTCACTCACTGTACCTGAGAGATTTGAGGAGAAGAACAGCCAGCACCACTGCCTCTGGGTTTGTCTTGTATACTGTACTTTTAAATTACACAAATCTGAATTGGCAGGAAGACCAAAGCGGAAAAATGACAACCATGCACATCATAGCTCCTCAAGGCAGAATGGTTAGCTGCTGTCACTGCAGAGATTTTTGACGCCCTGCTCGACTGACAAATGTCATTCTAATGGTTTTGCTTAAAAATATGCCATGCTGCTGGAGAGGCTGCTCTTTATGATATCTTTTATGATGTCTTGTGGAACTACACCCAAATTACAGAAATGTTACCATGCTAGCAGCTAGCCGCAAGGACTGTTGCAGGTTTGAGATATCTGTTCAATTCGTCTGTGAAGGTTCTCAGGCATCCAGGTCATTGTAGCCTAAAGAGCTTGGAAAGAAGGTGTCTGTAGTCCCTGAAGACGTTTCACCTCTCATCCAAGAAGCTTCTTGAGTTCTAAGAGCAACTGGTGGAGAGTCCCAGATTTTAAGCCCTATGGGAGTGTCCCCAAGAGGGTCATGGACCCCCTATTGATCCTTTGCCTAATCACACCCACGCTGTGTGAAAAAAGGTGTGGGTCACAATCAGCCAAGGTTGATTGTGAATCCATTGTGAAGCCTAGCCCCACCCTATCATGTGATCTGTTCAATTCAATTTTATTTATACAGCACCAAACCACAGCAACAGTTGCCTCAAAGGGATTTGTATTGTAACATGTAACATATCGTAACATTGTAACATCTATGCTATAATAATAGAGAAAGTCCCCCAAAAATGAATCCATTCCTGCTGGGAAAAAACTTTGCGACAGTGGGAAGGAAAAAATCCCCCTAACAGGAAGAAACCTCCAGCAGAACCAGGCCCAGGGAAAGCCGGTCATCTGCTGTGACCTGTCGGGTGTGATGGGAGGAAGACAGGATGAAATATACACTGTGGAAGAGAGTCCGAGGTTAATGATAACTAATGTTTAACTGCAGAGTGGTGTATAAACACATAGTGAGTGAAGAAGAAACACTCATACACTCGTGCATCATGGGAAGCCCCCAGCAGCCCAGGCTTATTGCAGCGTAACTAAAGGAGGATTCAGGGTCATCTGATTCAGCCCTAACTATATGCTTTATCAAAAAGGAAAATCGTAAGCCCAATTGAAAATAGAGTATATCTATCCCCATGTGTCCTGGAAAATGTGTTTAGATGTCTCATGAGAAATATTTTCCATTTCTAGTTATTACACAAGCCTCACATTTAAAGTTCTCTGGAACTACTTCTACCTTTTTTTTTCCTATTCGGTTTGTGGCCTCCTTCTATTAACCGGGACATTTTTCGTGCATAGTGAGACGCAAACTGCTTTTAAAATGCAACAAGAGCATTAGCTTTAAATGGACTTTCTCATCCAAGTTTAATATTCCACCGTAGTGCACGTTAAGCATCTTTGATCAGTCATGTATACAAATGAGGCCACTTTAATCCTGCATATGGTTCACAAGAGACTAGTTCAGGTCTTTGACCACCAATCAACACATTTCCAACACCCACTTAACCTTCCCGGTGCCTCTGCTTTCTCTAACACCTCATCATAAGCCTACAGCTACTGTATGTGCTCTCCTCAGCTGTGTGTGTGTGTGTGTGTGTGTGCGTGCTGGGTTTTAATAGCTCTGGTATGCAAGGAAAAGGGACAGAGATTGACCTGCTACTGACTGGCTTTGATGGACAAACTAATGGGAGGCTTGGATGAGAAGTTCATTGAATGGGACGCTGCTGAGTAGGAAGAGAGTGGGTTCTCTTCTTATGTGGGAGGACACTAATAGCTTTGCCAAGCTCTCTGCACAACCACTCAAAGCTCAGAGCGCATACTGCTTTGTGTGGCTTATATGACTCCTGTCAGTTTAAATTGCTTTTTTAGATTGCATAAAACAGTGTATATGGAGGTGAGTTATCTGTAGGTACAGGCAATGGATGGCTCGCCTCTGTCGGCACCCTTTTCTTTATGTCCTTTCACTCTTTTTGAGATGTGAAACAATCACATACATCTGCAGAAGAAGTCTTAACTTTTATTTTTCCTCAAGTTTTACCACAATTTGAGTTGTTAAAAAGAAAAAAAAACCTCCTGCAGGTCCATTTCTGTGTATTTTAGCCCGTGTCTGCTGTGTGAGTTGGTGTATTTAATTGTAAAAGAGGATGATGCTGAAAATTAATGCTAAATTGGATTTGGGAGAAATGTGTTATTGATTCTTTGTAAGTTAAACACATTTCTCACTAAATCCACCGTAGATACCCTTAGGACAAAATGCTCACACTTTGTTATTGAGTTACAGCTTAATGGATATAACACAAGCGTGTAATGATGCTAATACTTGGCAACTACAATGCAGCGATTTCCAAACTGACAGCTAATGACAAGAGTCGATCAGCATCCACATCGCAGCGAAACAAATATAAAGCGTCCTCAGAAATAATGTCCAATTCTGTCCAGTGTCATCAAAAGCAGCTGCCGGGCTCCCGTGACAAAAATAGGAGAGCCTGCAGGTAAACAGATGAATAAATGGATTTAAGCTGCAAGAAGGCCATGAGAGATTGCTCTCTCTGGGAAACAAACTCTTTTTGTCACATGCAGCACAGAGCTGCCCGCTGTGCTTCCAGAGTCCCGCACTGACAGAGACCGATGGACTGTCCCTTCCTCTCTTATCGGAGCTGCTGCAGCCCCACAACGTCTGGCTGCAGGCCTGCTAAGACGGTCTCTCTTTTTTCCTCTGATGCAGGCTTCCTCACGTTGACTTCGGCTCTCTTTATAGTTTTATGCAAAGTTTTGAAGGCATTGCCTTAAAAATTAGGGAGCACTCCACTTCTTTACTTTAAATATTGATGTATATTACTGTACGAATGACATTCCTCGATGGTTAGTTGAGCTTATCGATCCAGGCTGAAACAACTCTATAGCTGCTGGATCGTTTCCATGGTTTGTTTGTTTTTTTCCAGTCATGCGTTCTGGATCATCACCGTTTTTCCAGTGTATGTGCTCTCAGTTTAACATGGGGTTAAATCGGGGTTACCTCTGAATTCCTGTTCCCAAGGCCCATGATGTTTTCATGCGTGTGTGCGTTTGCTGTTGTTCTTTTGACACAGTCATCTATCAGACATTTAACTTTTCTTTGAAGTTAACATCAGAGCCTTGAGTGACGCTAGCTTGATTGCAGATTCTTATTCATGCAACAGAAAGTAAACGAACTACTAACAATTTCTCACTGATTTGTTAATTAATTTTTTGTCTGTCGGATTCCCAACAGAAGTCACCCAACATATTTTCCTGGACCTCAAAACTTGTTTTGTCTGAAAAATGTCAAACGTTGCTTATGCTTTCGAGCACATCTACTAAGGTGATAAATCACTTTTTTTTAACAAGAAAAATTGTTAATCAAACAGTTTTTTGACTAATTTTCTGCTTATTTAACTCGTGATTTATTAACCCATCATCCCTTATAAGATCCAAATAGCTTTTTTTTTCTTTATGCAGCGCTCTATGGTATTGAGTTATTTTGGGGGGAAATTACAAATCTATCATTGCGTTTGCAGGTTTTATTCTATGCTGAAATGTTTTGGCTGACTGCGTATTTCATCTGTCTTTGTTCTTGCGTTCTCCTGGAACAGACCTTCTACCCTTTATGTGCGCAGTATAAATCATTGTGACACTTTTGCTAGTACGGGTTTCCTTCAATGGACTTTTTCATTGTTTCTGTCCTCTGGCTTTACAAATGTGTCCACCAGCTTGTGCCACTGCGTTCGCTCTTCAGTTTGCTGTGTCCTCGCCTTAGTTCCCTGCTCATGTTTGCTTGCCTGTTTCCCCTGAGGGTTATGAGGCATTGCACAGCTGAGGGAAAATATGGCACAGAGGAGCACAGCCCGAGTGTGTGCCGCTTATATTTTATTAAGTCTTATCAGGCTGCTGTCTCTTGCGTACTACCATCACCAGTGCCAGACCTGAGTCTGTCACTCAGCATGTAACTACATTTCTGCAACACCTCTGGCAACATCTGAATGGAAGCTGTAACTTTTGTGGTTTGATGTATTGAAGAATTTTATCACTTTTGTTATTAATTCATATTTTTCCATTTCCTGTTGCATATTTTGCCCCTTTTGGACATCCCTGTATTTTACTCTTTTATTTCCATCCTCCTTTCTCATTTTTTTTCTGCACACTTACCCTCCATATTTATTCTACACATAATCTAAATTTGCAAACTCTTTCTCTCCTTCAGTGTTGCTGCGTGAAGAGGTGGTCCAGCTCCAAGAGGAGGTCCACCTGCTGAGGCAAATGAAGGACATGTTGACTAAAGACCTGGAGGAGACCCAGGGCGGCTGCTCTGCCAATCTGCTTTCTGCCACAGAGCTCCGTGTGCAGCTGGGTGACAAGGAGCAGGAGCTGGACCGTGCCAAGGAGGCCTTACAAGGTCAGAAGCAAACAGACATCTTGTCGTCTTGTCTAATCTACCAGAACCCCCGTGTTTCCAGCACCTACCTACTTCAAATGTACAGCAAATACAGCTGTCCAAGCTTTCATGGGGATGTTATGTCAAGCCAGAATATCTTGTAATTAAATGAAATCCACTTTGTCTTACCAAACAAAAGCAGACAGTATAAATTTTTTTTTTCCATTACATGACAAACATTTGGGACATCAAAATGATCTACAAAGTCATTTTTTTTGTATTCGTACAAAAACGTCTTCTACATTGTGCTTTCTCACAGTAATTGGTTCAATTAAATGTTTCCAGGCAGCATATACAGTGGTGTTTGCATGGTCCAATAGGTTCATCTGTCCAAAAAAAATTGTTCCAGAAGTCTTGTGGTTTGTCTTAATGTGTCTTAGTGCCATGAACTTTAATATTTAACTTGCTAACTGTGGCCTGGGGAGTCTGATATGAAGCTTTTGGCCTTTTTGAAGTTTCTCTGAGCGTTTTACAGTCTGAAATTCACAATCTTTTTCGGGGAGGGGTGGGGGCATTTGTGTGGGATGTCCACTTGTTGGAAGATTGGCTTGAATGTTTTCCACATGTGAATAATCTTTCTCTCTGTAGAAATAATGGACTTGAGGTTGTTTGGAAATGTTTTTATCAATCTTTGCTGAGACATAAAACGTTAGAAATGACTGTGTTTACTTTCTGTTTCACAGCTTTGAGGAAAAAACACAGTTTGTATGAAAATCTATAAAATAACTATTTATCCATTTATACTTCTGCATCTACCAGGTTTTCTTTGAATAAACGGCTCACTTAAATGTTTTATATCTAGACAGTATATCTCTCACTGTCCGTGGTTTTATATTCAACTCTATACATTAAGAGTTATCATGTTCTTTATGGACTCTTAAGAATAAGCATGCCAAATAGCTGGGTGTTTTCCATTTTTGCATTTGTTTACTATAATTTTGGCTCTCAGATTCTTGTTGTGTGTGTGTGGGTGTGTGTGCATTAACTATCAAAATTACTTTTTGGGATTAGCTTCTCTTTTCTAGAGCAACATATGTTGATTCATCTTTTTCAAGCAAATACGAATGATTCATGGATCAAAGCAGTGGGTGTAAATCATTAACTCAACAGCATTTTTCACATTCATCAAAATCATTCCCAAGTAACAGCAGACCAATTACCATAATAGTAAAATTCCAGTCATTCTTCTGGGGCATAAATTAAAATGAGCAGGTAATCTCTCTCTTTATGTGGCTAAGTTGAAACATTAGTCATCCCGAGCTGATGAGCAGCCAAGTCAACTCCAGGTTCACCTCATTTTAATTAACGTCCATCGATCATGAGCGAAGAGCTTCGCTCTGACACTGATGTGTTAGGGGTGTTCTGTTTTTATTATTATGCAACACCACCATGTTTATATCTTTTTACAAAAAGCAAAGCCAGTCCTGCTTGAAACTCAGGCAGTTGTTTTTAGTTTAGTGTTCTACCTTTGCGTGGTCCTTTCAACAGCTCACAGTGGTAAACTGCAGGCTTGTAAACCGTCATGTAACTGTGGCAAAACAGGTTTAGATGCTGTATGATAAATGCGAGGACGCTGAACGCTGACAGGAGGAATGCACCCTGAATGACATGTGCAGTTATGGAAAGTGCAGGTTCCACTTTTCCAGTTTTGTCTACCTGGTGAACCTGGGCTCTCATGAGTGCGTTAGTATTGTTTCTACCTGCACAAAAGACCCACAGTTGCATCGCTGCCGTTGAGCTGAAAGCGAATGAAGTTGAAGGGAATCAGATCCAATCAGGATGAGTCCACAAAGACTCCACATGCCACCTGAAACCGAATGACTCAGGGATGATTACATCATTTTCTCTGGGCCCCGTCTTCTGAAAGAAAGGGAAAAAGTAACTCATTAACAGAAGACACAGTGTCACCTAGTGGCTCTGTGGTGTAATTACAAAGCTTTGTCTTTGTCTACTGTTTGTCTACTGTCCAGTTTTCTGTTGTTGATGGACACATATGTGCTGCTCAGTGTCTCAATGTGTTTGCTTGTGTTTTGAAGCTATGAAAGCTGACCGTAAGCGGCTGAAGGTGGAGAAAGCAGACTTGGCGAATCAGATGCAGCAGCTGTACACAACACTGGAGAGCAGAGAGGAGCAGCTGCGAGAGTTCATACGCAACTACGACCAGCATCGAAAGGTAACGCTGTCAGGTTTTGTCTCTGTCTCTGTGTGCCTGCATTCCTATCCCAATTGTCAGTATATATTTAAAAAATAATAATAATAAATTAACCCACACGTGAGGGTATTTTGAATTATGGCTACCTTACATTTTGTTTTCTACCAAAATAAAAACGAGAAGTTTTTCAACTCTAAAAAGTTTAACCAGTCTGATAGCACTTCACTTCAAATCTATTTTATATTTAAAACTAGTGAAAAGGGCGGTTTTTCATTTGTCCAGCTGTACAGAGATTTTAAGTATTTAGTATTTTTAAACCGTTTTAACAGTTAGTGTTTTTACAGCTCTACCCATTTATAGACTGTACATGAAAGATGGATGTAGCCACGGTGACGTCATGGTTTGTGTATTGCCATTTTGGTACTTTGGGTATGTCTTTTTGTTTTTTATTGAACTGGAAGTGACACTTTGGAAAGTTATCAGTTAAGGCTAGCTAGCTTTGTTAGCAATGGTGCAATGGGATGTAAACTTGGATCCTAGCAGCATTCATGGGCTTGATTGATGATTATGAGTTACATTAAAAATTGACCTCTGCACGGTTATCATAAAGGACAGAATTAGTTATGTGGACAAAGTATATTTATTTTAGTTATGAAGTCGGGCATGTAGTCTGTGGAGATTCAGGCATGAAGAACTGCATTTTTGGATATTTTATTCTGACTTCTTTTTTCCATTCTAAAGCTGAAGTTTATAGTTAGTAATTAGCAGTGTTTTCACACCTAGAGTCATTTTATTGTGGTCCCATCAGCAGATAGGTTTGTAACCTTGTAACTTTCCCTATGGTTTGGTTTCATTTCACACAGAGAAAAATCCAAGTGAACCACAATGTGTTGTAAGAACATTCAGTCTGCTTATAGACCAGATGTGTCTGGGGCATGAGCAGCAAGCGTAAATACAGGAAGGTGTTGCATTCTGGACTATTTGAGAGCATGGAGAATTTATAATCTTTTCATGCCTCTTTGCCAACCCTTACTGACTTGTGCGCATATAGTATAGTTCAGTTTAAACAGACTAAACATCGCAGGTGTGGAAACACCTTTGGATATTAATTAGCACTGTTGACAGGTTTAACTGTTTCTCTACGATGTAACAGTAATAACTGCTTCATAAAAACATAGACACTAGCATAAAACATGAATAAAGCCTTCAAAATGTCTATAAAGCCACACAACCACATAACGGTCTGTCTTGCTTATCACTTTGTTTTAGTTGCAACGGTCCGTAACTGGAATTACTAAAAAAAAACAGTCGCCGTCATGCAGCCACCCTTTTCAAAACCATACAGCAACACACGATGTGTGCTGCTTCACTCAAAAAAAATTTTCGGATCATTCAATGTGACTTTGATGTGAAATCACGATAACTGTATGTGTGCGATTTCGGCAGGAGAGTGAGGATGCAGTGAAAGCCCTGGCAAAGGAGAAGGACGTGCTGGAGAGGGAGAAGTGGGACCTGAGGAGGCAGACCAAAGAATCCACAGAGCAGGCCAACGTCCTGCGTTCTCAGCTGGATATGAAGGAGAACAGGATTAAAGAACTGGAGGCCGAGCTCACAATGGTGAGTCGGACAGAGTCACAACTTTGCTAAAGTTATTAAACCACAGCGGAGTCACCTCAACTCTTAGCTGGTAAACGTGGCACAAATGCAAAGAAGGTCACATGTTCATATCAGTTCAGACGCATGCAATATGCCACTTCCTCAGTCTGGAGCAAAGCTTAATGCTTTGAGAGAAAGAAATTCATGCCTTATCTCTGTGCTGCTGTGTCAGTCCCTCATAGGTACACTTGTCAGTCTGTGTGTCATTAATCTCTCTCCTCCCTCAGCAAGTCACAGCCACCCACAGATCCTCACATCACGCTCCATCACAGATCACATTTGTTGGCACTTCAGTGCCAGAGCTGCATCACTGTCAAACAGCCCAGCCACACAATATCATTGTCTCCTTCTTTTCTTTAAAATGTTGTTGCTTTCTCTGCCGCTAAACTCAACTTTCTCCAGTCTGTCCTGTCTCAGAGGCTTTCAGTAAAAAAATATAGAAATAAAGTCCTATGGAAAGTGATGAATACATTTGGTTTATAACACTGGCTATATTCTAACTTCAGCTTATCTCAGGAATAGACCATCCTGTTGCACTTTCTAATGTTTAAAACCCACAATACTTGAAGGATCAGTCACAACGTAGCACTGATCATCATGTCACAGTGCAGCGCTCTGCTGGAACCCCTCAACTCCCGCCATTCCCATGGATGTTTCTTTGACAGGTAACACCCAGTTACACAGTGCTGCAGAATAAATGCGTGCTCCCTGATGGCAGCAGCCTCCACTAGCAGGGTTATGCACCCGGCCACACCCATAAAACGACAGAACTAGGAATGGCAAGAGGAATGTAACAAAGAGCAACGAAAGCTAACAGATAACAATCCGATTGAGCATGCAGAAGGATGTGTCACAACAAGCCCGATCATTGGAGGCCCCACCCTGAAACCCACAATACTTGAAGGATCCTGTGCCACTCACCGAGGTCCCATGTTGTTTCCCGGAGAGGCAAAATATTAGGCAGATGTTTTCAGAGTTTAATTAGAAAAAAACAGCTGGTACTCAGTTGGTTGTGTGAGATTAATTCTGATGATTTCCAACTTAAAAAAGTATACTGATCCTTGTAATTATAGTTAGTCCTGTAATGTTAACATCTTTGTCTCTGTTCACTCTCATGCTAATTTTCTGTTATTTATTTATTTATTTATTTTTATTCTTAGGCAAAGCAGTCTCTGGCCACACTGACTAAAGACGTACCAAAACGCCACTCAGTGGCTATGCCAACAGAACCGGTGGTGAACGGCAGTCAGGAGTGGGTGATGCACGCCGACCTTCCGCTCACGGCCGCCATCCGCCAGAGCCAACAGACCCTCTACCACGGGCACACCACAGACAGACAGGGTAGGTTTTCTTTTCCTCCTTGCCTCGCGGCCTCTTTGCTACTTGGTGTTGCTTTTACTAACAGAGGGTTTTTTCAAGGAGGTTTCTCATACTAACTGTGGGAATCTGCAATATCGGTGTGTTTGTGTGTTTGTGTGACGCCTCAGCTGTGGTCAGGATCAGCCCCTGCCATTCACGTCAGCCTTCTGTGATCTCTGAAGCCTCTGCGGCTGATGGAGACCGCTCGTCAACGCCAAGTGACATCAACTCACCTCGTCACCGGACCCACTCCCTCTGCAATGTAAGAGCTGCCTGGCCCCTTCGACCAAGTAATCACACCTCCGCAATCTTCTGTTAGTGCCTCGCTCCACTCTGCCTTCTCTTGTCTGTTCCTCTACTGTCAGCTTCATGGGCTCTGCTTGCCTGCTCATTGCCGGTGTTGGAGTTCTTTTGTTTTTTCATAAGCAACAGTTTGGCATTGCACTAGCTTGGCACTGTGTATTTCATGCCTAATCTTTCAATATGAGTAAGTATGAAGCAAACGTCAGCAACTGGTTAGCAGTGGCGCATTGAAAGCTTCAATTAACACATATTGCCTTATTTGTTAAACAAACATGCACATAAAACCAGGTCAAAAAAAATTTTCTAATCAAGCAAACTATAACTTTATTCCTTTTTAAATATTTATACATGCTAGTGTGCATGTTTTCTTTTTTGGGCTTTTTAAAAACCCTTAAAATCTTAGCCTTATTCAAATAGACTGCATAATAAGAGAGCCCATTTAAAAAAATGTTCTTGTGGTTAGAATTGCTCTATGTGAAGTGGTAAGTTGATCCAGCTGATAATGTAAGTTACTCTATCTGGTGAAAAAGGTTATTAACTACTGTATTAACTATATTTTAAATATCATTTTTAATAATGAATCCCTCCATTCTGATAGCTTTACAGTTATTTTGGTGTTCATGCAATAATTTTTACAACTAATTTGCTCGCAGTCGTGAAAAAGAGAGAATGCGTTTCACTCTGTATTTGACACAATGTCAAACATTTTAGCAAATAAACATAACAAACACCAATGTGTCACAAAGTGTTGTGAATATTTGTGTAACCACAAACTTTGTAGCCAGTGACACAAATGTATATACAGAAAATGTTGTTCAAAATGGACAAAACAAGAATGATGCTATTACATCATCAAAATAGCTACATGCATCTCAATATGAAATATAATTTTATTCTTAAGACGAGTAGAAACCTGAACCTATAAAACCGAAAATGTTGGGCCGAACCTCTTTATCTTTGAATTCTCTTTTCAGTCCCATTCAGGCTTGTTAATATAAAAGCATGACATCATTGTAACAAGTCAACTGGTTAAATGTCCTCCCTGCTAGATATATAACAATCAACTGTAAGTAATATTATAGATTGGTATGGCAAACTGGTGACTTGGCCTCAAAGTGACAGATCATGTAAACTTAAATAATGGGTGCATAAAAGTCCCCAGCGTTCCTCCTCTGGAGCATAAAAACTGTGCACCGGGAGCTTCGAGGCTACGGTTTTCATGGTTGAGCAGCTCCTGTAAGTGTAATATGCAGGCAGCCTGGTACTCTTGTTCATATAGTGTATTTAACATGAAGTTAATTGTAGAAGCAGTTGAGTCTCTGGTTGAATTCACTCACTTTTTACAGCCAGATCCAAAGAAGTAAACGATAAACAACTTTTGACATAAGGCTAATTTTACGCATAATGCTGGAAAAAATAGTTGATCTTTCAAATGCAAGATAAAAATTTAAAATGCAACGTAAATTCAGGCTCAAATGACAAAAAGCTTTGGTATTTGTCTGGATCCAGTTGGTTACATCTCTCTCTCTCCTTACTCGTCATGAAAGTTTATAAAAATGTGAAACTACAGTGTGGCTTTAAGGCAGCTGATTAACGCAGCTTTTCTATCTCCTCTGCTCAGTCTATGGAGGACCTTGAGGACCAGAAGCGGAAGAAGAAGAAGGAAAAGATGACACTGGGATCCCTATCAAGGGTGTTCGCTCGGGGCAAGCAGCGCAAGTCACTGGATCCTGGCTTGTTTGATGGTACAGCCACCCCTGATTATTACATAGAGGAGGATGCCGACTGGTGATGCTGAGTGTGTGAGTGCATGTGTGTGTTGAGTTTTTGTAGATATCCTCTTGGCTTTAACTGTGAGTGAAGACTGTCTGTGGATTTATCTGGAGGCGAAGGATTTTGAATTTTAAAGAAAAGCCCTTAAAGTCACTGCTATCACCATAAATGTACAGTATATTGCCCTAAAATTGTATGTTTGTAAATTAGATATATATTTATAGTTGTACATGTATGCATATGTACATATGTTTACACACATGCGCACACACACACACACACACACACACACACACACACATATATATATATATATGGGTTACTCTTTCCTTCGTGTAGACATATTTATGCTGTATTATTATAACTGTGTTAATGTTTTATGCTTTTTTTATATAACTGGAGACTTGAAGTACTGCTGTTCATATGTAAATAGGAGCTATTGTGAAACTAGTGTTTTACTGTAAATGCTATTTGTTTTTTGTTACTTTTACAGTTGCTTTTTTCATACTTTGCAACATTTATTTCCATATTATTCACAGTCTTGCAGGCCCAAATCTTACTATGAAAGGATAGAAATGATAAATTACTAGACTTTTGGTTTCCTGTTGGTTTGAAAACACTAGTTGAGAGGTAATTCTGTTACAGGATTGTCATCACGTTCCTATAAATGCTGGCTCACAATGATTTATTTACAGCACTGTGGGCACCAGGGAAGTTTTTTTGCAGATATTTTGTAATCTAGTAATCATTTTAATAATGCTCTCGTACTGGCCATTGAGGGTTTCTAGAGTCAGTCTTCTGTAGAAATTGTAGATGTGAGCAGGCGTATTCAGACGCACCTCTGTCACCTGCTGTCAAAACCATGTGCAAGTGCCAAAGTTTAAAGACTCAGTCACTCCATCACTGTTAGCACTAGCCTCGTAACATTGTTTATGTCTGACTCATTTTTTACAGAGAGCTATCTAACATGTGCCTATACGAGATGAACGAATGTGCATTAAACACGTGCATGATCCCTCTGTGTTGCTTTGGTTAGACATCCATTCATTGCCAACCAAATTAATAATCTCTGCAATCCTGTGTTGCTCCTTTGTAGCCCTACCCATTTTTACCAGGTTATCTTTTCCTTGCATTTTGAATGCATGATCCTCCCCTTATTTTGCTGTTTTTTGTTTTTTATATTTGTATAGAATCCCTCCTCATTTTATAATTTTCCTTTTTTTCCTTTCCTTTTTTTTGCAAATGTGGCTCTAACAAATCTGTTAAATGTTTGTAATTTAGAAAATGTTGCATAAAAGATTAAATCTATTGAATTATTTTATTTAAAAGAAATGAGACAAACAAGAAGTGACTTCAAATATTTATCTGCTGCAGCTGTCGCAGCCAGATGTCGAGGAGGTTTTAGCATTTTCAAAGTGAATTATAATTGAAATGAAATCTTATTTTAAAAATAAAACCACTAACTGAATAAATCCAATGTGGCAGTTTTCTATTTCGTGAGTAATGTTGGGTTGGTTTTTTGGGGTTTTTTGTTTGTTTCTTTTGTCCCAGTCTAACGTGTGTGTCTCCCTCTCCTCCTGCCATTTCTAATGGCAACTTTCTCCTGCCAGTGAGTAACTCCTCATCTGTGATTACCAGCTGTCTGTTTCTTACACTCTGGGGATTATTCATATCACATATCATGTCCATTGAAGAGTACCAGTTTGTGTGGTTTGTTTTTTGAAAACTCTTTTGAAAGATGGTGGGATTTGCATGCAGCCTTTTTTTCAGCATGTCGAGACGAATCAGTTCATCCTGGATTCGTTGGTTCGGTATGAATCAGTGTTTCCTGTTTTTTTGTTTTGTTATATTTTTTTAGATGAGGGGCTGATGGGCAGAAGCATGATGTTTTATGAATAATCCCTTTGTCTCTAATACATGATCCTAATGGTCTTAAGTCTCCTCATATGCCTCAGTTACTAGTGTTGTAACGTCTTTTACTAAGCAGTAGTTTTAGAACTGACCACCACACTGTCACAGAAGAACCAAAAGACGTCTGTATTCCTGAATTCAGCTACTGTTTTCTATTTAGACGCATTTAAATGTGCAGTCCTATCTACTTAAAAAAAAAAACAAAAAAAAAAACAAAGCACAGTTCATTCAAAGATACTGGCCGTCTCCAGTAAGATAATCTGGCGCCATCTAGTGGTTATATAACAATTTTTCTTTTGTTCTCACTTGAATGAATTGATCTTGGTGTGCAGATTTCTCCTCGATATACAGAAAAAACTGTAGTGTACTATCCCAAATGTAGCTCAGTATGGTTCCACTTTAAGGTAGATGCAATACTTTTTGTTCTGCTCCCTTCTGATTGTCTCCAGATGTGTAATCTGATTTGATTTTCATATCCAACTGACCCTGAAATTCTCCTGTATGCCACACCGTAACTTCTCCTGACCAATCCAGACTCTGATAGCCTCACACAGCAAAGCCTGTCTGATGGAGAGGAGCAGCTGGACCGCCTCCAGCAGGCGGAGCTGACTCGAAACACATGCATGTCACTGTGGAGGGCAGGTGCAGTCCAGGCCTGGCTGGAGGTTGTCATGGGAATGCCCATGTACATCCGAGCCTGCTCCGAAAACGTCAAAAGTGGGAAGGTATGATTTGGTACATGTTGCTTTTTGCTGTTTGTTTACCTGTGTGTGATGTTGTTTGATGTTGGCAGATGGACATGTTAAGGTGTTGTGTTTGTTTGATAGAGAACTATATTTCTGCTCTTTAGGTGCTTCTAGGCCTGACGGATGATGATTTAGAGCTGGGCCTGGGTATCAGTAATCCAATTCATCGCAGGAAAATAAGATTGGCTATTGAGGATTACAGGAGAGCTGAAGGGGACCAAGGGTGAGTAACAGCCAAATAAAACTGCAGAATAACTAATGTCATGGGGGTTTTTTTGGGGGGGGGTTAAAAAACACATGACCTCAAAATCTTCATTTTCTCCGTGCATACTTTTCTTTAAAAATATACAGACAGGGATAAAAATGGAACGTTTTGAGTTAAATATGTGCCACTGAAGCAGACATTTCTGGCTCAAAGTATGAGAGACGACTCCATCCATTTTCTACCACTTATCCAGTTCAGGCTGGGGCATGTCCCAGCTGTCACTGAGCATGAGGCGAGGTACACCCTGAGCAGGTTGCTAATCTGGTGGACTGCTAACACAGAGAGACATTCACACCTATGGCCAATCTAGAATTCCAATTAATCTAACATGCATGTCTTTGGGAGGAAGCTGTAGTATACAGAGTTAACACACGCAGGTGCAGGGAGATCATGCGAGCTCCACAAAGAGAGGTCTCAGCTGGCCTTTCATTTTGAACCCAGCAGCTCCTTGCTGTGTCTGCCAAGAGAACGCTTTTGTGATAAGAAGCCTTTAAAGCTATGTATTGTAAAATATATATATATATATATTATATATTTTAAATAACGGATATCAACACGAAACTTTCCAAGCCACTTTTATTTAGATGGGTTTCCTGAAATTTTAAGTTTAATATGCATGGGTATTATATCAAAGGATATTCAGTAATATGTATATATGCACTTCAGACACAGAGAAGTAAAATAAACACCTAAATGTGTATTTTAGGACACTTTTTTGTACTTGTTTTACTTGCTTAGTCTGATAAATGCTCCCAAATAAAGGAAGGAATATAAGTAGCAAATTTTCCACCTTAATGGTTTTTCTTTATTTTTACTACTTTCTACATTGTAGATACATGCTCAAGACATCAAATATATGAAGCAGGATTAATGGAATTACGTAGCAAAGAAAAAAAAATAATGAATAACTATAAATATGTTTTATATTTTAGATTCCTCAAAGTAGCCATCCTTTGCTTTGCTGACAGCACTCCAAACCCTTGGCCTTCTCTCAATGGGCTCCATGATGTAGTCACCTGAAATAGTTTTCACTTCACAGGTGTGCCCTGTCAGGGTTCATTTGTGGACTTTCTTGCCTTCTTAATGGGGTTGGGACCATCAGTTATGTTGTGCAGAAGTCAGGTTCGTGCACAGATGACAGCCCTATTCGACAACTGTTACAATTCATATTATGTCATATTATTAGAACCAATCAGCTAAGTAAAGAGAAACGACAGTCCATCATTACTGGGGTCAGTAATGATGGACTGGGGATGGAGTCATTACAGGACAATGACCCCAAACACACCTCCAGGTTGTGTGAGGGTTATTTGACCAAGAAGGAGAGTGATGGAGTGCTGCGCCAGATGGCCTGGCCTCCACAAACCTAAACGCAGTCGAGGGGGTTTGGGAGGAGATGGATCGCAGAGTGATGGCAAAAGTGCTGAACATCTCTGGGAACTCCTTCAAGACTGTTGTAAAACCATTTCAGGTGACAAACCTCATGAAGCTCATTGAAAGATTGCCAAGAATGTGCACAGCAGTAAACAAAGCAAAGGGTGGATAGTTTGAAGAATCTGAAATGTTAAACATGTTTTGAGTTATTTCTCACTTTTTATGCCTTCAATGAGAATCCACAATGTAAATAGTAAGGAGTGCATGAAATATGATGTATTTAAAAAAAATGTTATTGTTTGATATTGCTGATCACAGATTATCAAAAGCATCTGAGATGGACCATCACTGGGTTGCAACATCATGGCTGAGTGATGTCGGACTGACTCAGTACTCCCAGACCTTTCAGTCTCACTTGGTGGATGGACGAGTGCTTAACTCTTTGAACCGCAGAGACCTGGAGAGATTTCTCAACATCAGTGACCAGTTCCATCAGACCAGTCTACTTCTGGGAATCCAGCTGCTGCAGATGCTCAGCTTTGATAAAGAGGTCAGACTATATGATAACAGATTCATGACTGGAGTTATTCAGCATCTTTCTTTGATCACTGCCTGACTTTCACTCAGCTACAGTGACAAAACTACATGCTTATCTGCGGTAGCTGGAGTCACACAGTAGCTTGTAATGCTCCATTATCTTATTGGCCTCTGCCACATTAGTGCTTGCACTGCTATCTTTGTGTGGTGTTTTTAAAGGCCCTGCAGGCACGGCGGACAAAATGCGAGCACCAAAACTGGGATCCCATTGTTTGGACATGTCACCGAGTGATGAAGTGGATCAGAGACATCGACCTCAAGGTGGGTGGGGCGGTCAGTGATGGCATTCCCGTCTGCGCTGGAGATTTCTTTGCCAGACTGGAACCAGATACCACAAAGTATGGGTTTTTAAGAATCCCTCAAAAATGATGATAGCTTTGTTTCTTTGAAGCCTCACACCACTGAAAGAATACAGAAGAATAACAGTAGTGTACACTCAGTAATGGGGAATAGACCACACAGCGTGAGGGGTTTTTTTTTAGTTCTGCAATATACCGACATACTTATTTTGGGCAACATGTGGTGAACACTTATTATGACCCACAAAGACAAACCAAAACTGTTTTTAAAAGCTTTTTTGTTGTGTACTTGTAATTGCTACCAAATTAAACCAAATTAAGACCAGGGAGCGATTTCTGCAAGGTTAGTTATTTTTCAGCTAACACTCACTGATGAGCACACTGAGCAAACTGCATCATCTTAATCCAACGCTTCTCTCTTGCGTTGCTCAGGAGTTTGCAGACAATCTTCAGGGTAAAGGGATTCATGGTGCAGTGATGGCTTTGGATCAGTCTTTCGACACAGATGCCATGGCCAAAGCCCTGGGCATCCCCAGCAACAAACACATGCTTCATCGGCACCTGTATGAAGAGATGAAGTCACTCGCTGTCCCTCTCAGGTAGATTAAAAGTCCTACTTGCATACCTTGATATTCTATCCTGTAAATACATTTGTATGTATATATTCTTGGATGCAATCACAAACAACAACGTCTTGTAACACCTTATGTTTACAGTAATACCGAGCAGGACACTGAGGTGATTGGTTGTTCCTCTCCTGTCGCTGTTAACCGTTTTGCTGATGAGAGGATGTCTATAAGAAGATCCGGAAAGGTATTAGACAAACTTTATAAAGACTGAAATGTGCAGTGCTGTGCAGAACCTTTTTGATATTTCACATGTTTAGATATATACTAAGTATGTGAGTACATTAGAATAAGAAAAGAAGAATCAGTAGTTGGCTACTAAAGTCTTGTGGTCAGATTCAAACTGAGGATTCTGATATAAGACCATCATAAACACTAATTACTTTTTAGCTGATAACGTTTTATAAACAGGCAAATGTCTCATCTTTAAAGAAACTCCATATTCTGTTTTCAGCCTTTTTGATTTTGTTTTTCCCAGAGTCCGCTGAGGTTACGAGCAAACAGCCACTCTGTGGAGCGAAGTCTGGGCTTCCACGGCAGCTGCAGCTCTCTGCCCAGAGAGGCCAGAGTTCAGGCGGTTCCCCGAGCCAAAGGCAGCCCGATGCACACCTACAAGAGTGTCGAAATCACCAACGTCTGAACCAGCCTCAGCCATCGAGATCTTAACCATTGTTTACATTTTTGTTGTGTTGCAGTTGTTTACAGCTGAGAGACACTCACACTGAGCCACACTAGAATTATAGGAAGAGAGTGTCTTAAAGGGGTATGCCACTCGATTTAGCAATCTGACATCTTTAGAGAAGCATTTAGTGAAGACAAACAAACTTTATCATTGTGACCTGATGGACTTGAGAGGAAGATAACTTAATTGCTAGTTTCATTTTTTATTTTAATTTATTTTTAAACTACGTATTCCAAGACTTTTATATATTATTGGAAAAATCATATTTGTATGATAGATGAGAAGGCTTAAAACAGGCTTCACACAGTTATATAATTGAAATTACTGCTCTTTTAATGCCTTATATTACACAGGTCCATATGATCTTCACAGCACTGTTACTATTTATTACTGCTACTTTTTAACATGTTTGTTTTTTTAAGCTGCAAGTGAAAAACTCTGTTAATGACAAAAGAAAAGTTGTTATAACTTACTCTCAGTGTAAAGATACAGCCCATATCAGCTGTTATTCAGAACAGATGAGGGCCCTGTTCTTCATACATGGCTAACCCAGTTAACCACACATGAACACTGGATTTGTTGACTGGATGTTTCTAAAATCACAGAAAAATGTACAGAGCAGAGACATCTGGAGTGCGATTAAGGTGATGTGGGGTTTTTTTGCAACTTACAAAGTACATTTAAATTACCAATCATAAGTCAAAGAACTGCAAATTAGTATTCAGTTTTAGGGGCATTCACAGGTGTACTACAAGAGCTTTGAGATGGTTGAAGACAGCTATTTTGTTAGGTACACGTTGTTAGGTTCAGCTGCTTAGTAACACAAATATTTAATCAGCCAATGACAATCCCAGTGACTCAGTTCATTTACATAGACCATAGACATGGTCAAGAGGGCCTGCCAAAGCATCAGAATGGGGAAGAAATGTGATTTCATTGACTCTGAATGTGGCATGATTGTTGGTGCCGGGCTGGTTCAAATATTTCAGAAATTTTCTTTTTTCCTGGGATTTTCCCAGTCATCCCTATCTCCACAGTTTACAGAAAATGGGCCAAAAAAAGAGAAAATATCCAATTCGTGGCAGTTTTCTAAGATGAGAAGCCTTGCTCATGTCCAAGTAGAATCAAAAAAGTTGCTTTGACCCAATTTACAACCAAGGCATCCAGGACAGCAGCCATGCTGAAGACTGTTTCCATACTGGGATTTAAACCTGTGTCAACTTTGTGAAAAAACAGAAATCCTACAACTGCTAGACCATACGGGACTTAAATGAAGAAGAGACAGATTATTTTCATGTGAGAACCCAGATAGCATTTTGTTTGATATTGTGTGTAATAATAATAGTTTTTGGACAAGAAGCTAATGAGATGATTCTCAATTCTGCTCTGACATTCAGATGGTAGGGTCAGAATTTATTATAAATAATATGAAAGCATGGATCTGTCCTGCCTTGTATCAGTAATATCAGTGACGGTGGCGTAATGGTGCAGGTGCATATTTTCTTGCCACACTTTCAGCCTCAGTACCAGCTGAGCATCTTCTAAACCCCACAGCCTTCCTGAGTATTGCTGCTGACCATGTCCATCCCCTCATTCATGTTTAATATTTTGTGTTTTGTCTCTGTGAAACTGTTAAACTCCTGAAGAATGGCAGTAAAATACAAAACCCAAAGGTTTTTCTCATCTCTCTATTTTGATCTACCTCGTCACCTTCTCCCGAATCACCCTGCCATTGACTCAGAAATTGATCACAAGCCAATTTCAACAAAGTCTTACCTCCTTAAATGCATCTGGAGGAGAGAGGAGGCCCAGGCCTGTCCTTTGCAGAAGCCTTTACAATACTTGTGCCATATTAAAAAAAAAAAAAAGAAAGCATGATGCTTAACTTGTCATGCAATGCCACTTTGGTCATTACCACTGTTACTATCATCTGCCAGAGATCATAACATAAAGTGGCAGGCTGTAAAAAAAGAAAAAGAAAACAATGAACTGACAATGAAGCTGTGCCACGCATCGTATTTAATTGGGATCACTGGGAAATGACAGGTCAGAAGCAAGGATGTTTCCAGTTTTTGTTAAAAGCCTATAGTCTCAGCTCCTCTCCCTCTGTTAGTGCAATCACATGCTCAGCATTCAGCCAGTATTATGCCTCTCCATAACTTTTCCCATGAACTTTTATTTGGGATTAACAAACCAATCCTAAAGGAGGCTGAGAGAATCAGATTAGATTGACGAGACTAAACCAGCTTCTTGTAACCTGAAAAAAGTATTTTAGCCTAAATTCCTTCAGATTGCAGAACAGGGCCCTCAAGTGCCATCAGCTCTAAATGTGTAAGATGATGCTACTAAAAACAATGACATGTGAAGTGTGTGTCTTCTTCTGACAGCTGGTATACCCATAATTATGTTTGTTTTAATGTAAAAGATGATGCAGTCATGCAGTGTGATATGTAGGTAAATCTGTGGAATGTTGGATTAAGAATGTGGTAATGTACAAAGACTCCACATATGTGTATTGTATGAACTGTGAAGAAGGCAAAACTTTGTGCCATTATACGATGAAGTCAATGGAAAGAATGTAACGGTGTATTCTGTACAGTTTTGGTCGTGTTTTATAATGCACAGCTGTTCCTGAGCATGAGAACACTCATTAAATGCCACCGCTGGGACTTGCACAGAGCCACACCGAGTGTGACTGAAACCTTGAGGTTACTTCAAATAGCAGAGAACAGGTTTGTCCGTCTCTATCTGGGCGTCTCTTTGACTCACCAAAGGGAAACTGTTTAAGCGGGAAGATCAGACCAGTTCAAACCTGTACAGAAAAAGAAGACAGGGACATGCAATGTATTTGCTTTTAACACATGACATATACATCTCTTTGCAAAGCAGTACAAGCTTTTCATACACGTCAACATGAAAGTGGATTTATTGTAAATTGTTGCATAAAATGTAAGACTGTTATTGTTATTTTTGAGGAGAAATGCATTAAATTTGTGTTAACAAACTCAGAATGTAAAGTTGGTCCAGATGTAAATTATTTTTTCTTCCAAGGGTTTTGAAAATATATCTTTGTGTTTGCATACGACACTTCTGTGTTATCTTAAAAAGAAGCTCAGAATGGTCACATTAGCCTGTTGAGTTGGTTATTATAAGAGCTCGCATCATAAAAAAATATATGGACATTATTCTCATTTATTTTTTATTAATTGCAGTGATCTGACTGACCTTATTCTCTGCTCAAAGATCAGCGTATGAGAGCAAGATGAATTTGTGTCACTTTAGCACCAGAAGGTTGTGCCACACCTGGCAAGAAATGGTAGCAGTTTGCATTCAACAAACACAACATGGCCCAAGTATAGACACTACTAGCATGGAAAGGGTTAAAGCTGACTAGTACAAATTTTGAAGGGTAGCATTATGGCCCATTAGCCATTGCTATACTACAGGCTGTAGTGCACTCTGACCTCTTGGCGTCTAAACAGAGCAGGTCCCAAGGACCTTGGCACACAAGGCACCTTGGCACCTGCCACTACAAAAGTATATGAGGCTTCACATTTAAATATTTCCATTAATCCCAGTAATTATCTCAAACTAAAATCACTGGTAGTGTTAGGGATCTCCTCTATCACTGACCCAAGATATGAAAAAAAGACACTTTCTAAACTATAGCTGACAAAAACGACCGCACCAACAGCTCTTCTAGAGCTTTCATTAGGATTATTAGGATTTTCATAAGGATTTAAATAAATAATTGAATCCCCTGAAGGTCATGTGATAAACGTCCTTTTTCTATAAAGATGCTCTCTTAGGATCTTATCACAGGAGCTCATTTTCTCTTTTAGATACCAAAGATACTTTGACAAAGCATGTAGTTACTTATACTTACTTGAATAATCAGGCCCTACCTTATTTTAAGCTTTCAGGCCCCTCTGCAACCATTAGTTATTATTCATTTCTGTCTTGTGTTCCTCCTCACATACAACCAGTCTCGGCAGATGGCTGCCCCTCGCTGAGCCTGGTTCTGACAAAGTTTCTTCCTCTTAAAAGGGAGCTTTTCCTTCCCACTGTTACCAGGTGCTTACTGTATTATCTTACAATATAAAGCACCTTGAGGCAATTGTTGTTGTGATTTGCAGCCATATAAATACAATTTAATTAAATGTAGACAATAAATATAAGCAAAATTATGAGTTAGTCAACCATTCAATAAATACACCCTTAATAAATTCACCAGCAACTAAATAACCAAGATTTGCTTATTTTTATTTTTGCAGAACATAAATATTTTCCTCTGGGCTCTGAAATACTGTGTCTTATTCCTGTAAGACAATAGTTTTATTTTTCTAATATCTAATTGTGTGTGTTTGTAATTAATACAGTTAATACATCCAACATTAATCGTGTTGTACAATGCAATTACTTTATTTCAATTAAGCTGTTTCTGGGCGTCTCCTTGTACCACTAATTTGTTCCCGGTGGAGGTTTACTTGAGCAGCACTAGGACCAAGAGGACACGGGCGCACTTGACAACAGGGGGTGGCGAGGTTTCACTACGCTTGGAATTTGTGCAAAGTTCTTGTTAACTCTGTTTTTATCTGCAGCGGTAAACATTGTGTTGATCAATTCGTCTAAGATTTAAAAACTTTTTAAAAGGAAAAAAAAGTTGAACCGGCCCTGAATTGCTGCGTCTATGTCGTCTCCCTCTCTTCCCCTCTGATCTTCCTGAAAACACCTGCGTGAGTCAGGTAACTCACCGATGAAGAGGGAAGTACTTGGCCACTGAACGGTGAAAAGGTAAGGCCTACACTTTAGAGCTAAGCTGATTTACGCTCGCGTATACTGTGACCAGGGCTGTTATCGATCTAATAGACACAGCACGCGAGTTGTTAATCTTTCTCAGTGTCATTGCGTGGGGTTCAATCCAATCTGATCTGTGTCCGGACACGTTTAGATCACAGAGTAATTCATGTGGACAGGTCCACCCTCTCCCCTTCCTGCTTCACCAGAAAGCATTACCAGCGTTTTTATTTACTTTGACAGTAGTAATATCGGACTGATAGATCTGTTAATGTTACCCACAAAACAGACCACATGGGCCGGTGTTTATTACCTGATAAGCCGAGTTTTTATGCTGGAAATTTACTGATGTTGAACGGGACACACCCATGCAATGCAGCAGGCCTGCAATGTTGAGAAAATGAATGACAGCGTTGGTCTATATGTAGTCCTCTTTTGCAGCTGTCACCTTCTTTTCGTCCTTGATCATGTGTGTTTAATAACTGACGAGGGGAACACCAGGACTTGGTCAGATACTGCATCCATTCAGTAATTCTTAATAATCAAGTCATGAATATCAAAGTGGAGATGCAATAATTCAATAATTCCCCCTTATAATAAATTTAGTCGCCTGCCCTCTGCTAAGGCAGACTATATTAAATTACATTTTTTCTTTCACCACAATAATGGTTTTTAATTGATTAGGCACTAAAAACGTAGTTGGCAGTCCACCACCATTATCTAATGACTGTGCCTGCTAGAAACTATATTTAATATAGATATTGAGTCCATTAAATAAGTATCAGTTGATCCTTACAGCATGAAT